GTCCGTAGTTCTCAAATGGGTCAGGACCCAGGGTCCTTGGGTGCCAGCAAAAAGGGAATAATGTAATTCTCACTGATAATTCCATCATAAGTAGCACAATGACAGAAGTGACGATTACTCAGTTCATTGTTAAAAGCACTGTTCTCTAATAAAAACTCAGAGGGTCTGTTGTCAACTGAAAAAAGTTTGAGAACCTTCTCCAGTCGAATGTACAAATGATCCTAGCTCGTAATTATCACATGATATCACTCGCAATGTCTGAGTGAATGCTGAGAAGTTTGCAGGAATGTTTCGTAGTTGCACTATTCTTTTATTCAACTAGAAGATTTACAGCCTGTGAAAAGTCATTCAACACAGTATAAAATCATAGTAAAGATGGGCTATCTGACCAAATGTGAAATTAAAAACCCTGCAAACCGGAGTAGAATTCTGCAGGGACTCTGTTTAACACAACAAAGGTACGTTGTGTCAATCAGGTTGAAAGCTATGGCTGCTGCTGTGTGAGCTCCTAATCAGCTCATGGTCAAGCTGAGATCTCAACGCGAACTTAGTCGCAGAACGCTAGCCGCAACAGTAGAACAGCAGTACGTAGTGCTGTTCAACACTCAGTCCAATAATAAGGTAACTGAGGAATTGAGTTAATATATTCTTAATACGGTGGGTTTGAACAGAAATATTCTCAACTCAAGGAAATTGACATGTTTTTCACGGCTTTCATATGTTAGATCATCTTCAGAGGTTACCGAATGAAACATCTAAAGCATGTCGGGTTTTTAGAATACTACATAAAAAGCTTTTTTATAAATACCTTTTTTTTGTGCATAAGCAAAGGATATGATGTGTATAAATTATGATTTGAATAATTAGTCCATTTTTTTGCATATAATTATATTATCTGGTTAAGCGAACATATAATGCTGGTATTGTAAATTCAGTTTAATGTACGTGGACCCAGAGAGGCAGACATAAACGATGGATGGATTACATGAAATAGAAAAAAATAATGTTAGGTTGATTTGATTTTGCGAAGATATACTTCACTACAGTCCGTCATGAGGTGGATGAGCTTTTGCTACGCACTGTAACAGCAATGTTAGTGTAGCCGAGGGGTCGTGTAGCTGTTTAATAACCCACCGTCAAACTAAGAGTTTATGACATTCCTGATCCGCTCACTTTAGTAACTACAACGCTACAGTTTACACAGCCGACAGGCAAATTAGAAGGGTATAAATATGCATTATAACATCTGGAAGGTGATTGATCAACTTCGTGCGTTTAGGCTGAGATGAACTCCCTGGTGGCGCGGTTGCAGAAACACAAAGTAAATAAAACCAAAATACCATGTGCTCTGATCATTGCCACTATCCCCTTCATCAGACTGCTGATTGTTTTTTTCTTCCTTTCTTGTAACAGTTAGTTAATTCATGAATTGCAATAACATCATCTTATTCAAGTTCTCTTCTCTGAAATACTGACGATTCATCTCCACTCGTGCGAGCAAATAAAACAAGGGTTAGACTAATTCTAAAAGCAGCTGTATTTCAAATTGGAGACGAAAATATGCATAACAAAGCAACGTTTGAACCGACCATGCGTTGAGATGAAGATTAAGAGCCGATACACTGTTAAAAATAAACATGCTAAATAGAACGCCTCGAATTATATGCTGTGTACATTCATTCCCTTCTTCTGGTAATAAATTAAAAAGTAAGCTATTATCAGAAGAGGAAACTGACACTGTGTGAGTGATAGAAATTTCTGTGACTACTACGGTGGTTTTCCTGTGACACTTTTGAACATTTTAGAATGGTTCCGTGTGTGTGTTATGCAAATGTACACAGGACGTTGCCATACTACATTTGTGGTGTTTACTAGAGCTTTGTGTAAAGTCTGCAGCTGTTTCCATTGAAGACAGGACGCTATATTCTCAAAACTCGTCACTCATCATGTGCATTTGTGCAAACTGTAAAATGAAATTATATAATCTTGAGATATGTAATTTATGAATATTTCATTGATTTTTGTTGGTAGGTATGAGCACTAAATGAGATGAACGCAGGTCTGTTTCTCTTGAATCTTTTGTAGTAAGCATATCAGCATTTTACAGTGTTTTATACAGAATGTTTGTTTTTAACTGAGATGTGGGGAAGATTAAAGGTCCCATATGGAAAGCCTACTCTCTTCCTGATATGGTCACGACATTTGTTACATAGAGTGCAGAGAGACACTGAGAGGTTTTTGTTCTAACCAAAATTATATTTTATGGATCACATCTTTAAATAAACAAGGAATATAATGTCAAATATGGACTTTAAAATTCAGGTAATTAATCTACTCAGACATTGTAATGGACACCCACCTAAATCTGGCATAAAAAGGTGCATGACTGAAATATGCCGTAGTTAGTAATGTTTACAACAAACGTAGAGTTTCTGGCACCAACTTCAATACTAAAGTGTACATTGAGAAAGTAGAATCTAAAAGAGGTAAAAATCCGCAGACACTTAAAATACATTGTGAACTTTTTATCTAGACCTAGCCTCCGATTCCCGATAAGGAAATTGCGTTTGTGAAAATCAAACATGAAAATATTAATAAATGCTGAAACTGTTGTCCCTGATGAATAAAAAACATTGGAGTATTATAAAGCTGAAAGTTAAGCAACACACGAATCGATTACATTCAAACGTAAAGTCAGACAAACAATATTTAAAAATTATAAAAGAACTAAATCTCATAATGGACTTTTGTTGCAAGTTGGTTCTTAAATGTTCAGATTATTGGTTATTCTTTATGATAATAAATAAATAATATAAAAAATAAGGGTTCAGGAATGTGTTATTTCATTTTGGGTTGTTACTGATTTTTGTTTAAATCTTATTGTTTGTGTGAATTGCATGTGTTTTAATACGTAGCAGACACTCTGACTCCTCCTGTGACACACAAAATTCAATACAAAATGTCAGAAATCCACACCACTGACTAACGATCATATTTAGCCTGTAATTATATATAGACAATGACATGCACTATTATGTGTGGTAAGTATTTATAGTCTTTCTACTTTTGCAACAGAAGCCCTTTCGCTTTCACCTCTGACTATTCACATTACCTACAAAAAAAACCCACGTGCCGGAAAATTCTAAACAAATCTCAAGATCTCAACTTCATATCCGTTCCATCAGTCTTGTCAAATGTAATAGGTTCAGTGCTCTAAACCACACACATCACAACACGACTTGTGAGTGTGAGTTATAGATGTGAGCTGCACGCAAATAAACTGATAATTGTTCAGATAAATAATTTGCCATCAGGTATCACAAAATTTAGAAAGTCAAATATTCGCTGCTCTTCATCTCATCTCTATCCACGCAGAAGCAAAAAATAGCGAGTGTAAATTGAATGAATTTATACGACCAGACGGCACATGACAATGCCTTAAATAAGAATGTTAGTCACATTTTGCTATAGATTTAGAAGACAAGTAACTTCAATCAACTTCACTGAAGAAACAGAGCTGCTAACTGCCCAACATAGAACTTGGAATCTTCAACTCATGATTTTTGGCGTCTCATTCCAGCAGGTTGGGAAACAGTTTTAGTAAAATTAATCTGTAAAACTATAGATACAGTGCCGGAGCAGCAACGTTGCGTTATTTTGAGATAGTTAGATGGGTTATGTATTGATTGATAAAAGTCAAGGTATGAGCTCACACAGCGGCAGTACAGCTTTCAACCATTGTTGATGTTTTGGCAGTTTGACACAACGTACCTTGTTCCCTGAGAAGTTTTACTGCTGTTTGCAGGGTTTTTAATTTCAACATAGAAAATAGCAAAACACACATTTATTGATATCATTGATAACTTAATAAGGAATGAATTCTGAATTCTCTAGTGCCTGTTTCATCTCAGTTTGATTTGACTGAACTAAAACTGAGTCGCAGTCCTGTTTCCACTGTGCTCTTGATCTTCCACTCTGCTCTTGATGTTCTAATTTTTAAAAATAGAACAAAAAGTAGAGTGTGCTGAGTCAATCTAATCTGAGGACAAATCCCTCTCTGTTGTCCAGACAGGCAGAGTGAGGTTATTGGAAAAACTGATTGTTTGGGGGTTTGTTGAAGTAAACATGGTCTGTCCGCCAACAGGCAGACGGACTGTTCTGAACAGCTTTACAGATAGAAGGAAACCATCAGAAGCTCTGTCATCTCGCATCTTGCGTCCACTCGAGCTTTGTGTCTCTTTCCTGGAGATTTTCAGTCCATCACTCGTTAAAATTTCATCTGCTGCAAATGTGTTTCTCTCTGTCACATTCTCTCTTTGAATCTTCTATCCTAAACTGTTGAATTTCTCTCTCTGTCTGGATCGCTGTGGTTTCAACAACCACTCTTTCACTGACCGCTGTCAGACAGGGTTTCCCTCCATTGGCCTAAAATGTCTTATAGACCATTGCATAGAAAAGTCTTTCGTGCTACGGGGAAGAACACCAAGTTACATTCAAATCTCTTTCCACAGTTGAGTCAGCCCAAAAACTCCTTTTTATTATTCTTTTATGCATATAATAAATTATTTGTGAAGTGACTCTGCAGGACGATATAAATCACTGTTGAAGAGAGGAAGAGGGGGAAACTTTTTCTTTTCATCTCCAGTCTGGAGCATTGTAAAAGTGCACCAGCCAGCTCCACTCATTGAGCTGCATTTGACTTCCAGATGAGGCTCAATCAAGTAATAATGTGCATATGGTGAGGTGGGTAATGTGCCCTCCGATAACCTACAACAGAGTGATGTCAGACGAAGCACAGGGCTTTTAACCACAGCACTGAGTCATTCTGAGAAGATTAGCAAATACTTTCATCAACAGACGTAGTGGAACCTTTAATGGCACTCTTATGTGTCAGTCTGTTTGCTTACATGGGAACGATATGTGTATCCACGTACATGCAAATCGATTGTGATTGTGTGTCTCATTGTGTGTTTAATGTGTTAATGGCCAGTGCTGCTTACCCAGCCGTGGCCTGGACACACTGAGTCACTCCTCAGATGGCACGGCGCCTCAGAGAAGCAGGTGGCAGACTTCCAGCTGCACAGCAGGATGAACACAAACACACAAACATACACACACACACACACACACACACACACACACACACACACTCGGTTCAGGTAGACAGAAACTGCAGACCTCACAAACTTGTGGGCGTTCATCCCTTAACAAGAGCATGATGATTACCTTCTGTCGTCAGCTCAGATACTTTATTCAGGGTGCCGGAGGGGAGCTGTTCCACACATATTAGATGTTTTCACAGTCTGTAAGCAGATGGTCCGGCACAAACATCTAACATTACACCTAATAAACAGGACGGTTTTGTTCTGTCAACGTAATCCTTGCAACAGGGGGTGATGGAAATCACTAAATTCAATCAGAAATGAACAGTGTTGAACGTTGTCTTAGTAAACACTGGGCAATTTTGGTTTTTCAGGTTAAGGTTTGGTTTATGTTTAGGTCTGGTTAGGCAGCTACTTGTGATGGTTAGGATCAGGAGCAATGTGTTTACATTAACAGCAGATCAAATAACTGTGTGTAATATGAAATGAATCACTTATAGTAACAAACCCACAGAAAATTATCACCCAACTCAGCTCGATTGAGACTTTTAACCTCCCTGAACTCATTGTTTTGGTTTTCTCACCCAAAACTCTTTTATTTTGGTTCAGTCTTTCAGCTCTCATGAGCATCATTTTTTAGCAGCAGTAGGCTGCTTATTTCAGTGAACAAACTCCAGAAATTGATTGGCTAGTATGTGTCTAGTACACTACATACCCAGCACCAAACAGTGGGGACTAGTTGGTGAAGATTTAGAGCGAACATTGGCCTCTACCAGGGTGGAAACATGATTCCAAATCAATGCTAATGTTACTTTGTGTCTGCTAGATGTGTAATTAAGGCACTGTCTGCTGACCGTTGGTCATATCAACTTTATAAGGTGATAATCTTTTGTTTACAGCTTGTTGTAATGCCACCAATTGCCAAAAAATAAATGGTACCACTTTCTAATAAGGTACCATTTATGAAGGGTTTTTAAGCTGTAACTGATGGCTTTACTAATGGTTAATATCATTCACTAATGCGCTATAGATCAACTAATGATAAACCAAATTGTACAAGCTCATAGATGGATTTCCTCAGGAATTGGCGAAATGTTAAAAGATGCTCTATCCTCCAATGTTAAGGAAAGTCATCAAAAAATATAATGGGTTCTTCCCTGTCCCATGCCCCACCCCCATCCCCCACCAAGTTTGTTGCAAAACGGTTAAACACTTTTTGCATAATCCTGCACTGACTGACCCATCTACTCACCCAAACCAAATCAACCAACTAATCATCCAACCAACCAACCAAACCAAACTAATCAACCAACCAACCATCCAACCAACAAACAGACACGGGTGAAAACATAACCTCCTCAGTGAAGGTAATTATAAGCCATTAATAAGAACAACCTTTGGGGAAAATCCTCCTCCTGCGCAATATTTTGGTCTATTTAGCTTTAATTGATTAATAATGATTAATTAATGGATTACCTTTTAATAATGATATTTCAACATTTAACAGGAGAAAGTCATTACCCTTTGTTAATGTCTTATAAAGTGTCAAGCTGAATGAGGATTTCAACCCAAACCTGGCAACCCAAAGGCTGTCGTTAATTCCTTATAACTGATGTGTAAAGCATTAGTAAATGGTTTATTGACCACTAACAATACCAAGCTTTATAAAGCCTTTTTAGATAGCGCCTTATCAAAAAGTGGTGGCAAATACACAAGTATATAATAGTTAGACCTCACAAGTATAGCAAAACCAGTTAGTTTGTGTGTGTTTAAAATTCTGGAAAACTAAACTGCACTTCACAATAAAAGTCCAACATTCCAGCCGGTTTCATTCCCAAAGAAAATGCTCTGTGGAGTTAGGAAATGTTACCATATTATTGGAAATCCAGCCTCTATGCTTTTTTTTTTTCCAGAGAACAGCTCATAACTCAGAGTGTAGCCTATTTACCAGGCAGCTGATCTCTCCCAGTTGTAGGGGAGTAACTCTTCAGAAGCACATAATAAACTGTCTGTAGTTCCCAACACTGTTATTTCTGCGTAGGTGCTTTCCTGTTAGCAGTAACTAACCCACCACGTCCTCAGTCTCAGTCTCTAGTTATCTTTGTGTCTGTTGCTCCATCCGTCCTCCCTCTAAACATCTGCTGCCTCTCATTATACAGTCACTTAGTTATTAAAGGACCAGTTCTCCCAAATGTGTTTCCCGACTAAACATCCAGTGGTATTTTGCCTTGCGGGTAGTTTGAATTTTGTCTGATGTGGTTTTGAGATGTGTACCTCCACCCTAGTACAACTGAGGTGGATGGACTGTTGCAGGCGGCACTCACAGTATGTAACAATGCCAATTGAAAATTAGCCATTGACATCTCTTTAGAAATGGTCCCTATGAAAACTGTTGATTCCATGTTCTGTTGATTATCCAGGTTAAGCAGCACAACAAAAAGATATCTCAAAATCTGGACAAATGGAACTAAACCTACCTGTGTTTTACAGGTGAGAACCAAAATATGTTTAATTTTCCTTTGCGTGAACAGACCTATTGAGGGTATTTTATCTCCGCATCAAGCATGCTTGGTGCCTCCACGTACAGGTTTTCATAACATTTTGTTAAGTGACTAAACCTATCCACATACTGACAACGTGACGTGATGAGGAATAATATTTTGAAACATCTTTTGCTTGATAAGGTTAGCAACTGATGGAATCTCATGATGCAATAACGCCTTCATTAGAACAGAAATCTTGAAATCCAACTTGTTGCACATAACCATAACCCTTACTTTCTGCTACACAAACTCTATGTCAGACCACATCTCCCTCTATCTACTCGAGCCTCCTTTATGTCATCATCATGTTAGGAAACACTTACGGTACTTTCATGCACATGGAATTTATGGCCATTTTAAAACATTGTGATAATATTTTCGGAGACATTGAGCAGGCCAGATCTGCTTGGTCCTTTTATTCCACTTCTACACGCAGCGGAAGCCATTAAATTAATAACTCTTCCATTAAACTCTTTGACCGATACAGTAGATTTACAGTAATAACATCTGCTGAGGGTGTGTTTTCCTCCTTGCTGCTAAGTGCTTGCATAATTTTCAAATTTATTTTCTGCTTTACATGCTTTTTTTCTTATTGAAATTAATACCTAAAATGCAAATGCACAGGATGCTATCAGTACTGCTACTTATACAATAGTCTGTTTCCAAATTTTTAGTCACAGTTTGTGTTTGGCCTTTTCCTGTTTCAGCATGACGGTGCCTCCATACACAAAGCCAGGTCCATAAAGAAAATGGTTTGGTGTGGAAAAACTTGTCTGGCCTGCACAGAGCCCTGGTTTCAACACCAGTCCAACACCCTGGGTGAATTGGCGCACCTGAGAGGAAGTTAGAGACCAGGTGCGGCAGTGCAGTGGATTTCCATTGTGTCATAGTGGAAAAATCATCCATATTAAATGATAAATTATACTGTACATGTGACAGAGAGAACTCTGAGCAGATGAAGCAAAGATTCTCTGTCTTCTGTTCTACAGCAGGACATCTTTTAGTTTACACTGAGGTATAAAAGTTCACTTGCACTCAGGTGAACACATCACTGTACCACAGCAGCATCATTTAATACCTCTACCACATACAGTACAGGGCGCGGAACAACACATCAACACAATCGCACAGCGTAGTTACACCTACAGTAAATATAGGATGAGGTCCACAGTTCATTTTTGATGTTTGAAACAGCAGCTGACAAAACAGTCCCATTTAGTATCTGTTCTGGAGCTTTCAGTCATGCTCTTTGCCAACTGTCATTGTAACTGGAGATTCTTATAAACCATAATCTGCCTTTCCCTGACAAGTGGGCGAACTCATGTAACATGACTGAAAGCTCCAGACCAGTTACTCAATGGTCTTTAAGGTGATTTGTGAGTGGTAGTTTTGACAACTATATATAGGATTATAAAGTGAATTTGGGAATCTGGCGTACCAGGCAGGGTCTTGTTTATTGAATTCATACAGCTCTACATTTATAACACTCAGACTCTAGACCCATATGTTTTCTGAATAAACACTGAGTTTCTCAGTCCCACAGGTAACACAGTGGTAAAAGCACGCAGCTACTACCACTGTCAACACATTTGTTTAACTGGGTGGGAAAAACAGTCACTAATATAGTCACATTCACTGCACCGCTCCCCTACCTCAGCTGTGGTGCTGTCAGCCTGACAGTCCACTGAGGTTAAAGAGCCAGGGTTAAAGAGGTCAAAGGTCATACACATCCAGACTCTGCACTGAGGCAATGTGTTGACAGCTGACGTCAGTCTGACCATGAGTCTGGTCTGAGCGATGCTCTGTCAGGCCCAGGAAATAATCATTTCCTGGGCCTGAAATGAGACTGAGGATTGTTTTGTTTTGTTTTGTTTTGCATATGAATACATAGCACACACATATATACAACACAAGGTAAAACTGGTCGTTACAGCCCAGAGGATTTATTGGTCGCACTAACTGAACTGAAATGATTGTTTGGTTCATCAACTAAAAAACGTATAAATATACTTAGATATATATGCACAAAACACATCTCATCAGCCCTCATCACACAGATGTGCTCTCTCTTCCTCACCATCTGACACTTCCTCGTGTTTGTTCAAATGAAAACTTCTTCATAAATATTAAATACTGAGTGTGAGGATCTGTCTCCAGTCCCTCATAGGTGTCTCTACTTGAGTTTCTTATGATGACAGAGTAAAAGTTTCATGTCACTTCTCTAAATTTCAGTTTAACATTAGATTTGAGTGAGAATATGATGCTGACACACACACACACACACACACAGAGGGAGGGAATCCCCTCTCTGGTCTACTAGTTTCCTATCAGTGCTGCTGCTGACTTGCCAACACTGAGATGAAGTATATCTCACTCCCCCAGGGGCTGCCCCCATACAAATGCATTAAACCACAACTGTACAGCTGACATGCCTCAGGCTCCACACTGGTGATCAATGGTCTCATCACCTCGTTGTTTTCCCCTCCACTGATACAGCAGAGAGAAGGAAAAAAAGCTCTTACTCGAGAAACTGCGTCTCGACACATCTGTTTGCCGTAACTCCCAGTGCTTCTCCTCGCTGGCTCACTTACTGATGTGTATGTTTCCTGCAGCTATCGAAACATGTGTCACCATGTCTTCTAGTCAAGCAGAAAACACATTTGGACAGTTAAACAGAAAGGACATTTGACACAATGATTAACTCTCAAAAACAAAAACAAACAAAAAAGAAATATATTTAAAATCATTAGTTAAAAAAAAACACTGTTTTATATCAATGATCGTGAAGTTGAATGATAGTCCCTCTGAACTCTTTCAGAATAGGTCATTATAGGCCAGATGTACAGCTGATAGACTGTCCATGTCACATGGAGATTAAAACATCCTGCACTTATTGTAGCATCTGTATCAAATGTGAGGCTTTGTGTTGCAAATATGTTTTTGTTAGGTCCTGACAAAAACAGCCTCTGCAACAATGTGGTGAGAATGTGGAGGTGAGGGTAAAGCAAGTAAGAGACAAGGAGTGAGCGCTATGACAATGACAATATTGCGATTTCACAATATAAAATTAAATAGTTTTGTAAAGTAAAGTAAAGCCACCATTTTGCTTTTGAGATCACACAATGTATTACTCTGTTTGGGTTATACTGAGTCAATACTTTTCACACCATTTTGTGTGTTTGTCATTTTCACAAAGAGGTATTTGTTTCCAAATAAAATCACCTTTACAAGGCAACAAGCTCTTAATGTTGCAGGGGGGACTCTGTGGTTTATGTCTGTGTTTTACTTTCCAAAGAACCACCACTAATACATTTCGTAGTTTCCTTGCATAATTCACATGAATACACCTCTCAGACAGTTAGTGAAGGAAGAACTAACTTCCAGAGTTTGTCAAAAGGGGCTTCTGCAATGCAACCTAAGCTTTCAGCTGGGGGGAATGTGATGAATAAAACACATTTTTTGAGAATTGTTGTATGTGTTCTAATGAAATGGACTTTCTTCCATAGAAATCAGGGGGAGAGTTCCCCTGCTTTGCCACTGGCGTTCACTCAGATCACATCTCCCTGAAAAGATTAGTCATAAATGTTAGGACCATCATCTGGGGTACTGAGGCGCTTTCCTTAACACAGCCCCAATACAGCCCCAACCTATGTTGTTAATGTAGAGGGTGTTACAGATGAATGGAAGTCATATGGATACTGTACAGTAGTCAGCTGCTCATTTACACCTAGATAAAACTAGTGCCTGATCATATGAGATATAATGTTCAGTTCATAACTGTTTTTTGAAGGTGTGTTGAGCTGTGCTGCCTTATACTGAGAGGTATTTCTACTACCATTGTTATTGATGCATTTTCAATTGATAATGAATTAATATTTACCATTAATATCCCCAGGTTTATTCCATAATGAGTCTCCCAAATTAGTAAAAGTAAATATCATTTCTGTCTACACAAATTTGTTAGACATTTGCACCACTGACCAACAGTCTAAAACCAAAACATTTTGAATTTGAATTTTTTTCATTGAAAACTAGGGTAAACTAGCAAGTATTCAAGTTTGAAATTTTACCAAAAGCAAAACTTTATTTAAAACTTTATTTAAAACTTTATTTATTTATATATGTGTATATATATATATAGATATATATATAGATATATATATAGATAGTTGTAGAGATTTTGGGACAACAAAAATAAGAGTAAAGTAACGGGACAGTTTAAAGTGTGATAAAACCAGTTGAATCTCACTTGAGGTTGAATCTTTTTGACAACCAGATTAACTGCTGCTTTTGAACAGCTTCAGTCCCACAGAACGTGCCTGGAGACACTCCTGGTCACCTAGCAACGCAAAAACCTCGTCGACCAATCAGACGCTTTGCTGGGCGCATTGGTACAATCAAACTCGACGATTTTACCACTGTGTGAACCGTTGACGATGAAAGTTGGAGTTTCAGGTAAATATATAATGTGTGTGTGTTTTATTTATCATAAAATTAGATAAATTATTAATATTGTACTTTTATAACGTAAAAGTGACGTTACATAGATAGAGGGACTGTGTCATGTCACGGCTGTGCATCTGTTTCAGTGGGTCGTACTTCGGCTGTATAAAGCAGGCGTGTCCTCAGCAGGGAGAGTGGTTTAAACAGTTTGTTTTAAGCGGTGACTGTGTCTTCTCTCTCAGGCTGTGGATTATGTGGATGCGTCTGCACGAATGCCAAGTTAACGTCTTCTTTTTCGGATCTTGAATGCTTTCAGAGCTCACTTTTGGAAACGTATGTACTGCTTTCATCCATCATTTAGCTATTTCTGTCTATGGAAACCGTGCTTTTACTCCGTAGTTTGGAAAGTAACGCTAATTTAGTTTCGCTAAATTTAAGTTTACCCAAGCCGCAGCCATGATTCAAAAGCGTGATATCAGTTAGGACACTTTAACGTTAACACATAGATTGTTTTAACTTCGTTCTTAACATATGTTTGCTTACGTAACTTTACTGACTTTACTGAGGGATTCTTCGCCATATGGATGATATTGAGTCAAACGTAACGTTATCTAGGTAGCGTAACGGAAACAGGAGTTAGTTTAAAGTCCAGCCTGGTACTAGTTTTAACAACGGTTAGCACGAAGTAACGTTAAAGGTAAGAGCAAATGTTGCCTATCATGGGTAAATTGATAAGTCAGCTGGAGCAAATAATTACTGCTGGTGTTTTAGTGAAGTGTGTGTAACTTGTCGTGTTAATCTCGGATGTGCTTATTTATGTAGGAAAACGCCGGGTTCGGTGCACTTTAAGCTAGCCCGGTGTTTGTGTCTCAGCGGTTCTGGAATAAAAGGCAGGCTCGCGCGGTGTGCTGTTCTAGAAGCCTCACGCGCTGTGCCCTTTACTGAGAGCGAGCAGGTTGTCTCGTGCTCGTATTCTGCCCCGCTCGTGCTGAATGGGGTCCTGATGCTGCCGCTGTTTCAACAGATATTTTAACGCTGGCAAGGCAGTTGTACTAATTTATTACAAATATGTATTCATCGAATCGATATTAGAATTGTATTTATTCTGCTTCTATTCATTTAATAGTCGATCAATAATCAGCATCTATTTTGATAATTGATCAATGTCTTGAGACATTTTAAGACCCAAATGTCAATGCCTATGATAGTTAATTTTATATCTTTGGGACTTCTACAGATGTCTCCTCGAGCTCTGGGAATTTTGGGTTGAGATTTTTCACAATATTCTTACATTTTATTAAACAACTTAATAATTAATCAACAAATTAGTCAATGTTTAAAAAAAAAAAAAAAGGTGTTAGTCAGTGCCCTGATTTACTGATACAATTAAATCATTTAGTGTTTTGTATTGATAAGAAAGAAAATAGATTAAGAATAGTCTGATTCTGTAGGGTTTGTTTGGTTTGTGTTAAATATCATCATCATCATTTTCTCTCTTACCATTTTAGTTAATCTGAACTTTGTGAGAAGATGGACAACAAGGAGGTATCAAAGAGCTGTTCTGTCAGTGTTCTGTCCTGGGAGCAGGTGAGCCGGCTGAATGAAGTCCTGACAGAGGTTGTGCCTGTTCATGGACGGGGGAACTTCCCTACCTTAGAGGTGCGCCTGAAAGACATTGTGGCATGGGTGCGCTCCCGCCTAGAGCTGAGTGGCATTAGAGTAAAGGACATACGGCTCAATGGCTCTACAGCCAGCCATGTGCTGGTCCAAGATATTGGATGGAGCTATAAGGATCTGGACGTCATCTTCAGGGTGGACCTGCCACATGAGGCAGAGTTCAGGCTCATTAAAGATGTGGTGCTGGGTACCCTGCTGGACTTTCTGCCTGAGGGTGTGAACAAAGAGAAAATTACGCCCATGACTCTGAAAGAGGCTTACGTCCAGAAGCTCGTCAAGGTCAACACAGAACAGGACCGCTGGAGCCTCATCTCCCTCTCCAATAATAATGGCCGCAATGTGGAGCTGAAGTTTGTGGACTCAATACGCCGGCAGTTTGAGTTCAGTGTGGACTCCTTTCAGATAGTGCTGGACTCCATGCTGGCCTACTATGAGCTGGCACAGACGCCCATGTCACAGGCATTTCACCCCACTGTGAGTGGGGAGAGCATGTACGGGGACTTCAACATGGCACTGAGCCACCTGCGGAACAAGCTCATTGACACCAAGCGGCCTGAGGAGATCCGAGGCGGCGGTCTGCTGAAATACTGCAATCTGCTGGTGCGGGACTTTCGGCCTGCCAGTGAGGAGGAGTTCAAGGGCCTGGAGCGGTACATGTGTTCACGCTTCTTCATTGACTTTCCAGACATTGGTGAGCAGCAGCGCAAGGTGGAGGCCTACCTCCAGAGCCACTTTATAGGTGAGGAGAAGAGCAAGTATGACTACCTCATGATCCTGCGGCGAGTGGTCAACGAGAGCACGGTGTGCCTCATGGGCCACGAGCGGCGGCAGACCCTCCACCTCATCTCGCTGATGGCCTTCCGAGTGCTGGCAGAGCAGAACGCCATCCCAGACGCATCCTGCGTCACCTGCTACTATCAGCCAGCGCCTTACGTCCGAGACCACAACTTCAGCAACTATTATGTGGCTAACCAGAACATTCCAACATGGCTGCCATGTAACTGACAAAACAAGCAAGTGGAAGGATGTACAAGAGGGCACTGCTGCTGCTGCTTTTGAGAAGAGAGAAGGCATAAAAAAAACTCCCAAAAAAATTTATATAGAGGCAATAAATGCTATGTTCCTCTCAAGGCACAATTATGTTTAAGTGGACAAGTGTTTTGCTTTGTTTTTTGCAATCCTTTCTCATTCCTTATCTACAGAGGTGTCTAGGTCATTGAATAGAAAGTGATATTTTTAAGTGTTATTTAGATTTTTTTTTTTTTTTTTTTTTTCTCATCATGTTTGGTTGTTTCCCTGTTTATCAACCTTATTCTTAATGGAGTTGTGTTTTGTGCCTTAACCTCCAGGTTTACCCCCCAGTAATTTAAGTATGGGCTGTTTTTGAAGTAAGGGAATAAGAAAATGTTAGAGCCTTAAATTTGGTTTTCTCCTGTGATTAAAGAAAAAAAAAAAAAAGCGTGAAAAGGCAGAAAAAAAATACAGAAAATATGAAAAATAGTGTTATTGGGGAGGGGCAGTAGTATTAAAGGTTTTCGGCCCAAAAAAAAAAAAAAAAGCAGAGCACTGGTGTTAAAATGTTTAGGTCACTGGGGAGGGAAGAAATGTGGTATATGAATAACTTTTGGTCACATCACAAGTGAAGGGGAAGTGAGAGGAATCAATTTGTTTTAATTAATTTTGAGACGTAAATATCACTCACAGATGTTAGTGCTCTCCCTAATATGCCGGCAGTGCCTGTGATTTGTAAACAATGCGAGAGAAAATGTGTGTATTTTTATTTCCACTGTGAATTTCAGTATAGGGGAAGTATACAAGCTCCCCTCCTCAGCCCTGTACTTTCCAGTCGAGACTGGCTTTGAGTGGAAATCTGCAGTGAGACAGTTCAGGCCTCAGATAGATGGGGCTCCTGTGTGTCTGAGGACTTTATTTTTCCCTGTTTTCAAGTCACTTCCAAAGCCACCACCAGTGACCTCCAGATGTCACAATCCTCTGGCTATTGTTGGAGGTTGGCCCTCAGGTCAGAGTGAACATGGGCCTGTTGACAGACTGCCTCACTGCCTGGAGCAAGAGCTGGCTGGGAGTCCTGGAGTGACAGGCTGACTGGCTGTCCCTTCCCTTAAAAGGAGCAGCACATGGTGGGCCCGCAGGGTCGTCCCTCACAACCATTGCAGGCTCGACAGCAGCTCTGAAACGGGATCCTCCTCTGACGCAGCACAGAGTCTGACTCTCCAACTACAGGCCGACTATAATTATCCTCCTTTTTTCCCAGGGGAGGTACCTTCAGAGTAGGGAACCAGGGATGGGTGTGTTAGCAGCAGCAGCAGCAGTCCTGCAACCTTACATGTGTGGGAGTTGAATCACTTCCTGTCCTCCCTTTTCTGGTGTCTGCTGGGACCACATAGTGTTCGAACCCCTTTTGTGGTCATGGGAGGACAGACACCTCAGAGTTCGACTGGTATGTTAAGAGAAACGCCAGCATGTCTGCTAGAGGGATACCTCTCCCCTTTTGGACTAGGATATTGATTTATCGTGGACTCTACAACCACAAGGCCCCTCACACCAGCTGTGATGGAGTTGCCCCCCACCCCCACATCAAACCCCAACCCTATGAATTTCTATTTCTAGCCAAGCCTATTATTATCTGTGAATTTTGAGCATTTGCAGTGTGGCATTACTAGCAGATGGGCTAAGCTGTGACTTCAACCTTTCATCTCTCCTCTCCCTTCCCTGACAACATCACATCCAGGTTTGAGAGGAGAAAAGTTGTTCTTAAACTTCTTATTTAAGTGGCAGCTGCTGTGTGTCAACCCCCCTCGCCCTCAGTTCCTCAGAAGACCTGGCTTATTCCTGCGCACTGCATTGCTGCCGCCGCTGCTGCTGCTGGTGCTGCTGCAGCGGCGGCAGCTCATGTTAATACCAGATAACCAGGAGCGTCTCTTATCGGGCTGGCTCACAGCTCCTGGCTGGAGAATAGTTAGAGGAAGGTCAGCCCGGCCTCTTTTGCAGGTCACGCCTGGGGGTCAGGGTATGATGTGCTGGCTCAGCTGCTGAGCTTTGGTATGGGAACTGCCATAGCCTTTTTAACAACATGTGAGGTGCCACATACTTTCTCACTCTGGACCAAAGTCTGCTTTACAACCAGCAACTGAAGCACTCAAGTGCCTATCACTTTTTGGAGAGTGATGTAGCTTTTTAAAGGGTTTTTTAATGGCGATCAGGAGGGAAAGGGTTAGCAATTTTTTTTTTTTTTTTTTTTTTTTTTTTTTTTTTTTTTTTTTTTTTTTTTTTTTCTGCCCCTTTTAAACCCTGTGAAACTGAATTATGATACAAGCCTCATCATTGTATTTTGAAACTAGTTTATGGGAAGATGAACACATTTTTGGGGGTAGCAAAATAACTTTGGTTTGAATTTGAAATTTGAGTTTTGTTTTGTTTTTGTTTTTTTGTTTTTCTTTTAAGTTTCAGTCCCAAATCATACTTCTCTGTGAAACCCTTGTCTAGTCATTCCTGTTGGTCTTCTCAACCATATTGTTTTACTCCCTCCTTTGTCTTTTCCTACACGTTTGGGCCTTGCTGTCACTAGCAGCCATGTTGACTTCAGTCTCGAATCAATGCCTTTGAAATCCAACTTTTGACTCATTCTGATTGTTGAAACAGATGTTATATATTTACGCCCTTAATTTGATGGACCGCCAAGCATTGCAGCTCTGCCTGCTTCGACACAACCGGGCTAAATTTGTTTTGCTGACAGTTCTGTCCCCATCCAAACCAAAGCAATACCTGAAGTGCACTGATGAGCCATACCGTGGCACAGTAGCTGGAGGTCACTCAGCAGAGACCCCGTACTAACAGAAGCACTTTAAAGAGGCCTTGTTTTACTCCAAACCCAGCCACCTGAGAGGAATGTAAATAAGCTAATGTTGTCAATTGCTGAGGGAGTTGAGCTGGTTCTCAGGGACATACTGTGTTTTTGCGGGCTTTGTTTTGTCCCTTTTTTGTTTTTGGGAGGGTGAATTGGTTTAATTTCCCCCTGACATTGAGACATCACCTCCTAATATTCACTTTCATTTTGTGTCTTTTGTTCTCTCTGTGTTAATTGTAACACTGACTCTCCTCTTCTTACCAAAACTAAAGGTTCTTATTATTTAGGGTAGCTCATACCTGAAGGTGGAGGCAGCCAGCAGACTTCAGCTTGCTCCGGCCTGACAGCAGTGCTGGGTTTTTATCTGTGCATCCAGATGCTCTGAAACCTCGTAATCACTCAGTGGATAGTCCCCTCCCAGGTTGGTGCTAACAGATGGATTTATCACCACACTCGTAAGCCTAAGATGATCTTTGCCTTGTTTGAAAGCCAGGGGACAAAACATTGATTTAGTGCTGAAATCCCTTTCATGGAATGGCAGCCCAGAATCTCTCGATCATTCCCCAGTTTAATTCTTCTCTGAGTGAAGATCAATTGATTTTTATCAGAGCTTGGAGCCACATTCAAAACCAGCAGCCCGGTTACGCTGCGGCTCACAGTTGCAGGTCGAAGTCTGCTGAGCGTGATCAGGTCTAGTCTCTTGTTGGGCTTCTTCTTCTTCTTCACATCGCTCGCTTTAAAATAAGTCACGAGCGAGGTCAAAGAAAATGCAACGAACAAAAACTTGCATTTTCCAGACAAGTTGATGGTGAATGTAGCCTAGAATGTAAATCCTCTACGTTGTTTGTGTCCACCCTAACTTTACGTGTTTACGGTTATTGTGGCTTTTGTTTTTTCTGACGACTGAACTTGTGTTCCTGTTTATGAAAGCTTTACCTTCCCCACTAGATGAGAGTGGGATGCAGCAGGGCTCATATAAAATCACTTCCTTCGTCAGTGTTGGCATATGTATGTCGATGTACACATTTTTTGTGAAGGACTGTGGAAAAAGAGGATGAAGTGTATTTTGCTTTTTTTTTTTTTTTTTTTTATATAGATATTCTGCCCCCCGCTTTTTTCTGCTGTAAACTTGTCCTTGCTATTGATCCTGTTGCTTCTCACTCACCTCGCCTTTGGTCGCCCACACTTGTTTGGGCCTTTGTTTATTAGTACGGTGTGTTTTTTCTCTTTGACACCTGTAGATGTATTTTTTTGGAGGGGGTGCAGAGAAAGCTGTGGATTAGATATTTAGTGGTCACGCTTGTCTGAAGTACAAGTCTTACACCATAGGAATGTGACGGAGGCCCTCTGGAAGCTCTCCTACAGTTTCTATATGAAGAGTTGTGAAATCCTTTTTTTTTTTTTTTTTTTTTTTTTTTTTTTTGCAGCAGATTTGTGTTTACGTTAATGTGTGGAGATGTGTGTGTGCTCGTTTGCATGTGTGTATGAAGGGATGCCTGTGGAAATACAAGTTTAAAAAGTGGGGAAAATATGAAATTTGTGGCACTATATATATATTTTTTTTGAAATAGTTAATGCAAAAGAGCTTTTTTGTCAGCTTTGTGATTGTGACAGTGACTTTGATGGTTACAACCATTATACTATTTCATTTTTCAGCACTTTTACCTCACTTGAGTTTTTCCTTTGAATGGAAATGTACTTGTACATCAGGAAAATGTGTTTGAAGAGGAAATAATGAATAAAGAGTATTAAATGCAATACCTGTTTCAGCTGTTTTTGGTGACTGGAATATCACATGTCAAGCTGTGTCTTAGATTTATCCAAAAGAAACTCTTAAAGTGCTGTATGTGTAAAAATATTAAGACAAGTTTTATTGTGGCTGGCAGGTGGTAATGCGTCTTACTTAAAACTCAAACACACCCTCCAACATTAAACTGCCAGACCTGTCAGACTACAATAAAAGAGTTTATTTTTTACCTGAGGAACAGTCATTTGACAAATAAAATTAATGCCAGGTCAGTCTTCTTTTTTAAGGTATTTTATCTCTATTGACAAAAGAAAATGCTGAGTATGCAGCCACAATGGTAGTCTGGCCTGGCCAGAGGTGATCATTTAAAAACAGGTAAGCAAAACTTGTCTGGTTTATGAATGTCAAGTCAAGTAAATTTTTATTTTAAATCAAAACAGGGCTGCATTGGAGTGTGAAGCAAGTATGAATAACGATCAACTACAACATTAAAAACAGGTATAGGTTTCAATGTTGTGAATCATCAATTTAAAAAAAAAAAAAAAAAAAAAACACTTTTTTCTGAGCCATCAGAAATGTGATGTAAGACTTTTTTGTTTCAATTATTTTCCAGGGCTTTGAAGTCAA